TACCTTTCAGACTCTTTAAATCTTTAACCAAGGAACATTTCAGAAGTGTTCTGCTTTGTGTTGCTACAGATCCATGGCAGTATGCTATTTTGATAAATTAAAAGTTTTGTCTTGTTACCACAATAAAAAATAAATAAATAAAATAAAAGGAATAACAATGAAAGATAAAGTTTTGTCTTGTTACATATAGATAACAGAGAATAAAATGTATGACAAAAAATAATCAAGGCATAAATATTCACAGCTTCTTTCCTCTCACCTGCTAAGGAATATTTTGCTATTGTCCACCTAATTTTTCTCCTCCTTCCTCTATTTTGGGCTTTATCAGTAGATTAGAGTGAAGAGTGTACAGGTGTGTGTGAGTGTGTGTGTGTGTGTTGGAGGGTGTAGAAGAGCATGCTAGGGAGAGCAGGGGGGAATTGCCAAAGAAAGGAAAGATTGGCAAAATTTACATTGAAAAGAAAGCAAGTGACTGATGGAAGAAAAGAGATTGGATCCCTGGGAAGAAAGGGGGAAAAGCATGTGAGTGTCCAAGTTTCTGGGAGAATATTAGTAGAGATTTTGAGCAATAGCTGCTGTATGGGGGAGAGGTGTTGAAATGACAGATAGGAAAAAGCTACTTTGTAAGTTTTGCTCTACATTAAGAATGTATTTGCCCACCACACACACCCAGAGTTTTCTGAAGTGAAGATTTTAATTACTTTCAATGTTTTTAGGGACCATTTTCTCTGAATTTTATATTATGCTAAGACTGGGCCACAAAAGGCTTCACTTAATTCAGACTACCAAAATACTCGGGAACAACAGGAAGCATTTTCTATTCAGACATTTTCTATAGACATAAGTTAGTGACTCCTAATTTTAAGATTATTAGGAAGATTCAAATTCATACGGAAAATGGTAAGGGACAATGCATTTTTTTTAAGATGCGTATTTGAGGTTTTAATCATTTTGTGAAACTTAGGGAAAACTCTCCTTCTTAGCATTTTACATTGGCACTCCCCTGAGATCTTCCTAAAATCAGAAACTCTTTTTGCCATAGTCTTTCAGCATGTTTCTTATATCTTTGTTATTGCACTTAATTTATTCTGCCTGGCTTGTTTTTTCAAAGAACCTTCTTACTATAAAAGTAATATATGTTGGCCTGGATTTATTCTCTTTTTTCCCACAGCTTTATTGAAGTATAATTGACAAATAAAATTGTAATATATTATGTATTACATATATAATAATATATTAAAGTTTACAACGTGATTTGATATACATTGTGAAAGGATTCCCACAATTGAATTAATTAACACATCCTCCATCACCTCACACAGTTACTTTTTGTGTGTGTGTGGGAATGCTTAAGATCTACTCTCTCAGCAAATTGCAAGTATACAATACAGTATTATTAACTATGGTCACCATGCTGTACGTTAGATCCTCAAAACTTATTCATCTTATAATTGAAAGTCTGTACCCTTTGAGCAACCTTTCCCCATTTCCCCCACCCCCCAGCCCCTAGCAACTACCAATCTACTCTATTTCTATGAGTTTGGCCTTTTTAGATTCTACATATAAGTGAGATCATACAATATTTGTCTTTCTCTGTCTGACTTATTTCACTTAGCATAATGTCCTCCAGGTACATCCATGTTGTCACAAATGGCAGGATTTCCATCTTTTTTGTGGCTGAATAATTTTCCATTGTGTGTGTATATATACGCACCACATTTTCTTTATCTGTTCATTCGTCGATGGACACAGGTTGTTTCCATGTCTTGGCTGTTGTGAATAATGCTGCAATGAACATGGGGGTACAGATATCTCTTTGAGATAGTGATTTCATTTCCTTTGGATATATACCCAGAAGTGGGATTGCTGGATGATATCATAGTCCTATATTTAATTTAGCCTGGATTTATTCTTTTTTTTTTTTTAATTTTTTGTTTATTGCAGTAACATTGGTTCATAACATTGTATAAATTTCAGGTGTACATCATTATACTTCTATTTCTGCATAGAAATAGAAGTTTCATGTTCACCACCCAAATACTAATTACAACCCATCATCACACACATGTGCTGAATTATCCCTTTCGCCCTCCTCCCTCCCCCCTACCCCTCTGCTAACCACCAATCCAATCTCTGTCTCTATGTGTTTGTTTATTGTTGTTATTATCTACTACTTAATGAAGGAAATCATACGGTATTTGACCTTCTCCCTCTGACTTATTTCACTTTGCATAATACCCTCAATGTCCATCTATGTTGTCACAAATGGCTGGATTTCATCGTTTCTTATGGCTGAGTAGTGTTCCGTTGTGTATATATACCACATCTTCTTTATCCATTGGTCCCTTGATGGGCACTTAGGTTGCTTCCAAGTCTTGGCTATTGTGAATAACGCTGCAATGAACACAGGGGTGCATGTATCTTTACACATTGGTGTTTTCAAGTTCTTTGGATAAATACCCAGCAGTGGAATAGCTGGATCATATGGTAGTTCTATCCTTGATTTTTTGAGGAATCTCCATACTGTTTTCCATAGTGGCTGCACCAGTTTGCACTCCCACCAGCAGTGTATGAGAGTTCCCTTCTCTCCACATCCTCTCTAACACATGTTGTTTCCTGTCTTGTTAATTATAGCCATTCTGACGGGCGTGAGGTGATATCTCATTGTAGTTTTGATTTGCATTTCCCTGATAGTTAATGATGTTGAACATCTTTTCGTGTGTCTGTTGGCCATCTGTATATCTTCTTTGGAGAAATGTCTGTTCAGGTCTTTTGCCCATTTTTTAATTGGGTTGGTAGTTTTTTTGTTGTTGAGATGCATGAGTTCTTTATCTATTTTGGAGATTAACCCCTTATCAGATGTATAGTTTGCAAATATCTTCTCCCAATTGTTAGGTTGTCTTTTTGTTTTGTTGATGGTTTCCTTTGCTGTGCAGAAGCTTTTTAGTTTGATGTAGTCCCATTTGTTTATTTTTTCTATTGTGTCTCTTGTCCGGTCAGACATGGTGCTTGAAAATATGTTGCTAAGACTGGTGTCGAAGAGCGTACTGCCTATGTTTTCTTCTAGAAGTGTCATAGTTTCAGTTCTTACATTCAAGTCTTTAATCCATTTGAAGTTAATTTTTGTGTATGGTGTAAGGTAAGGGTCTACTTTCATTTTTTTGCATGTGGCTGTCCAGTTTTCCCAACACCATTTGTTGAAGAGACTTTCTTTCCTCCATTGTATGTTCTTGGCTCCTTTGTCAAAGATTAGCTGTCCATAGATGTGTGGTTTTATTTCTGGGCTCTCGATTCTATTCCATTGATCTGTGTGTCTGTTTTTGTGCCAGTACCATGCTGTTTTGGTTACTTAGCTTTGTAGTATATTTTGAAATCAGGGAGTGTGATACCTCCTGCTTTGTTCTTTTTTCTCAGGATCCCTTTACCTATTCTATATTTAATTTAGCCTGGATTTATTCTTAATTGTGTGTTGTAAGCTCATTAAAGACAGAGACCATACCTTATTTATAAAACAATATCACGGCAATTAACAGCATAGCCCTTGAAGTCAGACACACCTGAGTTTGAATCTTGGCTCTACCACTCCTCGGTGAAAATACCAAGTATTTTTTTGTGGTTGTTATTATTGTTTAACCTTGATTAGTCCCAGTACTCTCATTTGTAAAACTGAGATAATAATGCCTGTTTCTCTTAGGGCAGTTGTGACCATTACATGAGAAGATGTATGAAAGTGTTTAGCACAATGCCTGGCACACACAAGTATTCAACCAATGGTAACTATTATTATGTGTATATCTACTTTATTATTTGAATCCCTACCATGTAACACAGGAGTAGCTACTCAGATCTTTGCTGAACAAATCATGGCTAAGATGAGAGGAGAAAACCAGGAAAGGAGTCCAGGGGCTGGCACCCTGGGTTTGCTGTACCTTTATTTTCCTCTGTGACCTTAAGATTTGGAGTCCCAGGGGCTGCTGTGGGGGCTTGAGGCCTGCTTCTAGTCCAAATGAGCCTTGTTGGAGGTGGGGTCAGAGGAAAGAGTGTCATCTGTTACTACCAGGGCCTGCCTGGGAGTTCTGAGCCTCTCAGGGGAATTCTAGTTCAATCTCTAGTTCCTTCTCCCTCCTGTCCTCCCCTACAACATCTCTGGAGAGTCTCCTGGTGATGGGAACTTCCAGTGACTAACCTGCACCTTCATGGTGTCCCTGGGAGTTGGGACTCTCTTAGATACCACCTTCTGCAGGAAGCACTTCCTGTTTCCCCAGGTCAGAAGAGGTCTCTCCCTCTGTTACAGCACATAGCCCTTATTGCCCTATTCTAGCTGCTAGCTTTATGTTGTTTCCCCTGTGAACTGCAAAGTCTCTGAGAGCAAAGTCTGGCTCTGGTTCCTGTTTGATCAGTACAGTGCGCTGTACATGATTCCCAAGTAATGACTGTTAGACTGAATTCTGCTGAAGCCGATCTTGGGGCTGCAGCCTTGAGCTGAGCGATTAGCCCAGCCTTGCTCTAAATTCCAAGGTGCTACCCTGATCCTCAGAGCTTTAAGATACAAACTTCTGCTCCCTATGGGAGAACACAGTCGCTGGGCAGTTCACAGCCTGGAGTTCATTGTTTAACTCATTGTAGGAAGTTCCCAGCAATAGATTTCAAAAAGCTAGCATGAATCCAAAAGAAAAACTTTATTTAGGGATAGGGATTTACAAAATGTTAACATCAAACTTTTTCCTTTCCATAATTTAAAGTTCCTTTTATACACCACCCAGCTATTACATGGGAGCATGGTGGAAATTTAATACCTGTAACAGCTGGAAACAATCTGAAAGAATTCTGATTCTGTTAGCAGGCAGTTTACTTAAACTTTGTTCTAACAGTCATATAAAAATATAAAAATAATAAAGCAATAATTTACTTGGTCACAAATATGATTATTCTGAATCATCCAACATACACAAAATTGTAAATTTTCATTCTCAGTTATCATTACCACATAGTTTGCTAAAGTGCCTGGCCAAAAATAATATTTTCTAGATATTATTCTTAGTTGGTTAACTGAATTTAGGTGAAATAACATCTCAGAAAAAGCTTGCCAACTCAGCAACTTGCCTTTCTCACTTGGCAAGAAAGAAATTACCCTTTCAACTTCATCAGTGTCTCTTTCACTGCTTGGACCTCAGTTCTGCTTGAAGAATGCTGAAGTGTCTCCTCTCGACTTCATGCGGCTTTTCACAAACGTGGTGAGTTTTCCGAAAGCCTCTATCAGCCCGGCCCCGGTGACGGCACAGCAGGGCTGCACGTACCAGTTCCGGTCGCTGCAGAGCCTCTGCACGTTGAAAGTCCTGGTGATGTCCTCAGCACTCAGAGCTCCGGGCACATCTTGTTTGTTGGCTAATAGGACAACAGGCACATTTTTAATGTGTTCATTCTTCAAAATGTGCTCAAACTCTCTCCTTGAGTCTTCTAGTCGCTGTTTGTCCGTACTATCCACAACATACACCAGCCCATCGGTGTTCTCACAGTAATAGCCCCACATGGGTCTCATTTTTTCCTGTCCTCCAACATCCCAGACCGTGAATGAAAGACTCTTTTCCAACTCGATCATTTCCACGTTGAAACCTATTGTTGGGATGGTCACAATATCCTTTGCCAGCTTTAATTTATAAAGGAGAGTAGACTTCCCAGCAGAGTCAAGTCCCAGAAGAAGAATTTGGGCTTGCTTGGCTTTGGGGTTTTTAGAACTCAAAAGACCCATTTCAGGGTTTTCTTTTTTCCTTTAAAGACCTTTTCTTTTGGCCAGATACGATGTTTCTTCTCCGAATCTTGTATGAAACGTGAGGAGGAAAGAGGAGAGCAGAGGCTTCGCGTTATATGTTAGGAATAGGAACTGGCATGCATTTGTGTTGTAACTGATTGACTTCATTATGGGCAGTGTTTTATTTGCAGTCCTAGCCAATCCTGAGAAATCTGTGGTGTGAGTAAAGCAGCCAGTGCCACAGTAGGTCAAAGGGAAAATTCTTGGTGGGTGAATAGACTTGGGAGGGGCCTGCCTGGGGGATGCTGCAGCTTGTTAGAGAACAAGATGTTGGAAACATTCCAGATGTTGGAAATTCGGAGGTAATACAAGGCTCAGACATGCACAGGAGCATAGTTTGGTAGTAGAATAAAAACCTAACTTTACAAGTGGTTTGTAGAACTTCTCTAGTTGTTTGACCATTTATCTTATCCCAGTTGTAAATAAGTAACCAGACTTCTGAAGTCATGAAGAGAGAGTTTATCTCATGCTGCTCTAAGATTATGCAGTAGGAAACTTTAAACCACCCAAGGTTGTCTGAACCTTACTCCCATAATCACATAGAGAATTATCTTCTTTAACCTTCTAGGCAGAAAATTTACACTATTCACAAGACCAGATTTACAGAGGGGGAAGTTTGTAACACAAACACTTTTAAAATTAAGCAGACAGTCTGATTAAAGTTGGGAAATTGATTTTTTTGGAATCAATATTTTGTAAAATATTTCCATGTATTTATCTCCTCTTTCTCAAGGCTCCACCAAAATGATGGTGAAGTAATAAAAAGAACATATAAACTCATAACAAGAAGAGCAGTAGAGTCCATCAGAGGGTGAGAGATTTCAGCAACATCCTGGAAGATGGAATATAGAGAGAAGATGAATGGTAACTGATGCAGCAGGATAAAGCTGAGGCTTGGAGTGCTGATGCACAGGATATTGAGGAAACGGGTGAAATGAGGGACTAAAACCAGATGGGATTAAGTAAAAGTCTGAATAAGGAACAGAAAACACATACACACATACACACCTCTGCTGGGTGACCACTCAGCAAGAAGATGTTACTCCCCAGGCAAAAAACTGAAGGGTTCTTTTCCAAAGAAATTGAATGATGTCAGAAAAAGACCTCCACGTTTTGATAGTTGGGAGTTTCCACATCATAATGCCTAACTCAACAGTGAATTAACCTATAGCCAACCTGGCAGGTGGCAAACCTTGCTCACGTACAGAGTTCCAGTCAGTTTTTCAGTGAACAGGGGCTTCTACACTTCATACATAACATGCCTTTAATATGAGTGAGAGAAAGACCAAGAAACAAATAAGATGACTTTAAGAAATCTCAAACAGAGGTAATGCAGAGAGCAGAAGAAAATTTTAAGTAAGTCCTAATTAATATTTCCATACAGACTTGAAAAGATATTGCATCCATAAAACAAGAAATGGATGCTATTAAAAAGGCCACTGAAAAAAAACAAAAAAAGAACTCTTGAAAATTAAAAACATGACTTCCAAAATTAAAAAAGATCAATAATAGGTTGGGAGGAAATTTTTCAGAAAGTAGAAGATAGAAAATATGAAAGAAAAGATAAGAGATGGAGAGGATCAATCTGGAAGTTTCAACATCTAACTTACAGGACTTTATTCCAGGGAGAAGGGAAAAACATGCAAAAGAGGAAATTATCCAAGAAACAGTATAAGACTATTTTCCAAAGCTAAAGAATGAACTCTCAAGATTGAAAGGCTTCCCTCAGTGCTAAGCAAGTTGATTTTTAAAAGGGTTATACCAAGGCGTTATACCAAGACACATGTTATATTTTTATTACAGTTAAGATTTTATTTTTTTAAAACATTAAGTAGACTGTTCTGGGTGCAGAAAGTACTCTTATGAAGAAATTATGTAAGCCTTTTAAAAAAACATTAAATTCTTAACCATCTCAGAAACCAGAGATAATATTTTCATTCATTTATTCATCCATTTATTCAACAGATATATATATTGATGGCCTACTGTGTGAACCCTCATGTGCTAGATTCCAGGGAGGTCACAAAGATAAATTAGACCAACCCTTGGGTGGTTTTCATTGTAAAAGTTATGTGAGCGGGCCGGCCCCATGGCTTAGCGGTTAAGTGCGCGCACTCCACTACTGGTGGCCCGGGTTCGGATCCTGGTGCGCACGGTTGCACCACTTCTCCAGCCATGCTGAGGCAGTGTCCCACATACAGCAACTAGATGGACGTGCAGCTATGACATGCAACTATCTACTGGGGCTTTGGGGAAAAAAAGGAGGAGGATTGGCAATAGATGTCAGCTCAGAGCAAGTCTTCCTCAGCAAAAAGAGGAGGATTAGCATGGATGTTAGCTCAGGGCTGATGTTCCTCACAAAAAAAAAAAAAAAAAAAGTTATGTGAGGGCCGGCCCCGTGGCTTAGTGGTTAAGTGCGTGCTCTCTGATGCTGGCGGCCCGGGTTCGGATCCCGGGTGTGCACCAACGCACCGCTTCTCCGGCCATGCTGAGGCCGCGTCCCACATACAGCAACTGGAGGGATGTGCAACTATGACATGCAACTATCTACTGGGGCTTTGGGGGGAAAATAAATAAATAAATCTTTAAAAAAAAAAAGTTATGTGAGCAAATAATAATACAAAGTAAAAAAAATTGTAAATGCTATAAGCTATTCTGGATATTCAAAGATTATTTTAGGATGGAGGGCATCAGGGAAATCATCTCTAGAAGGTTAAATACTGAACAGGGCCTTGTAGAGATGCAGTGGGGAAAGGGCACTTATTAAAGAGATGGCCTATGTGAACAAAGTCTCAGAAATGGGGAAACATAGGAGGTACATGGAAAAACAACAGGAATGCACAATATATGCACATGTAGTTTTTTAATTCTATAAACATATTTAACTATCATAAGAAAACCATCAGACAAATCTAGATCGTAGGACATACTGCAAGACAACAGACCTGGCCTCTTCAAAATACGTCCATGTCATGAAAGACAGAAGAAAAAACAAGGAGCAGGGGGAAGAATGTTCTAAATTAAAAGATACATGGCTCCTCAATGCATTGTGTGATCTTTGATTGGATCCTTTGTCCAAAAAAATTGATTACAGAAGTTTTTATGATAGAGACATTTGATTATGAACTGTATATTAGATGGTGTTATTTATCAATGTTAAATGTCTCGAGTATGGTGATGGTACTGTGGTTATGTAGGAAGATGTCCTTGTTCTAAAGAGATACATGCTAAAGTACATAAGGGTGATATCAGCAAGTGAATTTCAGTTGGTTCAGCAAACACACACACATATACATAGAGACAGACAGAAACAGCAGAAATACGGCAAAAGTCAACAATTAATGGATTTAGTTGAGGGGTATTGGGTTTTCAATGTACTATTTTTTTTTAACTCTCCTATAGGTTTGAAATTTTTCAAAATAACGTGGAAAAAAAGATTATAATTGAAATAAGCTAATTGAATTAGGCTGTAGTCTACAGTAACATAGAGAAATGATTCAGCTTACATATGTAAAACTATACTTGCAAAGATGAATTTATAGGACTCTGACTGCTCTACCACTTGAGCTCTTCCCCACCTCCATATTTTCAATAAATTAAATTTAAAAAGAAAAAACTGAACACTTATTTCATATTAAATTTGAAGATATATTCTTTATAAGATCCACTGTCAGCACTGGTGTAACACTTGAATGTGTTTTGCCTATAATGAGGATAATCATACACATACGCCTTCACTCTGCTTCCCATTTGTTTTCAGGATCGTCAACCAAATGAGGGGTTAAATTCTGGATGAATATTATGTACAAATCAAAATATGAATCTCTCTTCTGTGAAAGGGAGTAAAATAACTTCTTTCTCAATGTTAATTTTCATGAAAAAGTCTTTAAATGTTTCAACATCCTTTCCTACTGTCTCACAACATTTATGGATTCATTTGTCCCAGCCAAATCTGAGGGAAGGCAAGGTATTTGTTTTCTGTAAATGATTATGAGATTATGCAAATAAAGGTAGGATTGTGAGAGAGTTACTGGCAGGCTCTGTGGTCTAACAGGAAGTTAAAAATACAGGAATGAAAGAAACATTTTCTTTAATTTCTTACCATGACGGGGGGAGCCCTAAATTAGAAAATCAACCATGTACTGACTTATCTCTTGGAAGAAAGTGGCAACTTATATCACTATCTTTATTGTTCACAGATAAAGAAGAAGGAATCAGGATGTGGTTGTGCAGACTTGGAACATCCCCTATTTTTCCTAGAATAAGTTTTTTATTGGTCTTTTTAAAAAAAAATAAACTTGAAAATTGAAGTATAACATAATATAGATAATGCAAAAATCATAAATGTACAGCTCAATGAGTTATCACAAATTGAAAACACCCATGTAACCACCGAGGCCAGGCTTAATTTTTAATTTTCCAATTTTGTTGCAAGTAAAATTTGCAGACGTCAAATGTTTTTACAGTCAGTTGTCAGAAATATACTCTGTTCCCGAACATGTCATGTCAATAGGCACTCGTTATCTTAATTGAGATTCTTTGATGCTGTGAAGAATGATATATTCCAACCCATGAGCTTCTCCAAGTGCCCTTCCTCCAGGCCAGGACCACCACTTTCATCCCCATCTCCAAAGGCAGAGAGCTGTCCTTCTCACGTGGGTAGACCAGGGCGTCTGACTTCAGATCTAGCCTCTGGCACTTACTAAGTGTTGAATGGTGATAAAAACAGGGATGTTGTGATAATTTATTATATTACATATAATGAATGTGAAAACACATATCACAGAACCTGGCACATGACTGATGACAATTTTCTTTCTCTCCTCTCACAAGTTTTGTATATTAGCTAACATTTAAAAATACCTATGATTCTTACCTTTCCAGACAAGGAAGAATTGGATGATCACCATCAGAGCATTCTCCTGGCAGATAAATGCTAA